CAGATCCAAAATTCCGTTTTGTATACATATTGCCGGAAAAAAATCAGGACACGTCATGCCACAATTTTGTGCACTGCTTGAGAGCACCCTAAGTAGCTTTTTTTAATTTTTTTAAACATTCGTAATATTTGTACTTACATTTAAATTACGCAATCGGATCATAATTATGTCATAATGTATTAAAACATTTATTTACAGATTTAATCAAACAATCATGATTTTTAAGATCACGTTTTAAATCATTTGCCATCCCTACAATTATGTAATGCGGGCCAAAATTTGTAGATCACGGCCGTTAGCCAATCAAAAATCAAGAATCTGCCGTGACAAAATTGGTGATTTTGATTTATATCAGGGCATATAAGTATGGGAGTATTATGCTTATGTACCCGGGCATATAATAGTAAAAACATATCAAAAACATAGAAGTACCCGTATAATATACCCTCTACACGCGTACCTCGGGTACTAAAATGGGCTAGGGAAATACAGGCATTTAGTAAAGTAGTAATGTACGGCAGTACAAATTCGGACGGGCATACGAAAATTATACCAAATTTTGATCGTACGTACGGTTAATATAGACTTGCAAGTTTCAATTTTTATAAATAACCCTTTTTTTGATGGTTTGGGTTAGGGTGAGCGCTAGTATTGTCCTTTTTTTCATGTTAGGATTTATAGGAAAAGTAATTTGGGTTTTATGAATTTTTTTTTTTTACAAACCGTACGTACTATCAATTTCTACACGTCCGTCCTAATTTACGTTTTCGTACCGTACTACTTTACTACACACCCGGGAAATACCTGGGTACACATGTCGGTACATCCGTATGAAATGAAATTAAACACGTAGTAAATATTCATGAATATAGCATATTTTAAATACTTAGATTAATAAATGTCATACATTCACAAATTTGGGTAATTTACTTTAAATACTTGATCTAATAAATGCTGAGACCCCTGATACCCTGCAATCACTAGTTATATTGGGATGCGTGTTAATTCGGGCCCATTTTTGAAGAATATGATTTTGAAAATAACGACCATCCTTATAAAGTCAAAGCTCGACATAGCAAAGTCCACATTCTGATCTAATGTCTTTGCTATATGGAAATTTTAGGTTATCCAAAGACAAATTTATATGCTCAAACACATTTATGACACAAAAAAATTTATTTTTAAAAAAAATATCTAGATAGAAAATGCTCTTAAGATATTTTAGAAATAAGCTTTATGTGTTATTTAAAAATTAAACTTTTTTATACATCTGACTAAAAGAAAATTATACTAATGATATCATATAAACCTTTTATTGTATCATGAATTCTAATGAATGAAACATGTAAATAAAGCACATGATTCGAACCTTTGTAATATTATATCCCGGTAGTGTTCCTAGTTGGTAAAAATTTTGCCAATCGATTCGTTGCCAACTATAGTTGCAACTAATCGATTTTGAAAAAAATCAACATGGATTAGCCCGACTAGACGGAATATCTTGGAATTGAACTAGTTGATAATTAAATCGATTAGTTGGTTTGTAGTAATAATATCCTGATCCGTTGGGAAACTTCGTTTCCGCTTATTCACATACGGTCAGGATATTATTAATTAATCCTCCCGTGATCTTGATATAGTGATCGGGGGATTAAAATTTTTCTATATCGATTAGTTGAAAAATTGTCAACTAGTTGATTTTCAACTAAACGATTTATCCCGGCCCGACTTTTTTTGAAAGAAAATCGCAGATTTTTCCTAAATCAAAACATATCCACAACATTATGTTACAAAAGCTCCACACTCTAATCGTTTCGTATCATATGATATAGTTATATGCAATTCTAGAAATTCTAGAGTGGCTTTTACGAAAGGCTTATACTTCTACATATAGTAATCGCGATCGATTGCAGGCAGCATTTACAATTATCATCATATAGATATAGTAAAAAAGGGATGCTAAAGGCTGTGTTCTTAAGGCTTAGAAAGGAGTAATAACGGGATGGCACGCTTCTCCGTAATTTATGTAATTTATTAAATAAGTGAATTATTTTTACAAAGGTGACTTACTACCTTTTATAAGATTATTTGTCCGATTTAACTGTTCGTACGCGTTATTTCTTTGCAAAACCACAAAAAAAAATCCCCCATTAAAATGTCGAAACGACTTTTTTTTTGTCTATCATATATTTTATTTTTACCGACGCTAGTATTATCTCAAATTACAACATTACTACCAATTCCAAGTCCTACTGTTAGCTTAAATCAATCTGCAGTCAATGTAAACACATCTGATACAACTTCTTTACTAAATCCCAGACTTTATTCGGTATTGATCAGGAATAAAACGTATCCGGGAACCAATGTTAGAATATTTGATTTCAATGATTTTTTGATAATATGAATTCGATAAAATAGAATTATATATAAATATATTATTTTTTTCTTTTCAGTGCACATATATTTCAACTCCTCAGCCAGAAGATAATATTAGTGTTAATGG